AGTAGTATGTACCGGATATCCGGTATTTCAAGCATGTGGTAACGATATACACGCGTATCTTTGCTTATTATTTTCATTCTCGGTTTTTCTATTATCCACTTTTTTCGTAGATATCGATTGACCTGTTTAATTAATGAATACAAAATATGAATAATCTGTACATTTTTTTTTCTTTTCTTGCTTTTCCAAAGGTTATCAACCGAGGTATGAAACGGATGAGAAGAAAGTTTCGCCTCGTCGAATCTTCAGACAGATGTTCAGGGAAACCCTGTCCGTGCTGACAACGAACGTGCGTTGAATGTCGGAGACCTTGACCCGCAACCAACGTTCCTTCTTTTATCTCGTAGAGTAGAGTCGTAGAGCGTTTCGTTCGATTGTTCTTGATCGCGTGCAGCAACAAGGGCGTTGCAACTTTGTCAATCCAAAGTTTCTTTTTCACCAACATTTCCGCAGACGTGCGCAATCTGCCATATAAATAATTTTAATTGTAATCAAAGGAGTACAATTATCGATACAAGAAGTGAACGAAATGGGAAGAAAAAGGGTCGTTGTTCTCTCGAACAGCTTGATTCCATTTTCCATTCGAGAGATTCGCATTCGTTAGAGAATGACGCATCTGATATCGGGGAATCGTGTATCTTGGCGCAGAGCACGATGCACACGCGTGATTGTACAATTTTCTCTCGATGATGTGATAAAAACTGTGGCTGGGACGCGAATATGCCACGGAGAATTATCGTATTTCGATTCGTTCGAGAAGACTTATTTTCCTTTCTTTTTTTCTTTTTAATCCTTGCCAAAAATACGACGCGTAAGTGTAGTAAGAAACATTGGAAAAGGGAGACATCGTGTCATTGTTAAATTTATCGAACGAAACGGAAATGATCGAGAACGCAAAAACATAATCTCTTCTTCTGCAAAAAAAAAAGGAAAGCAACGAATCGTTAACCATCAATCATTCATCGCTCATAGCCATGGTGGTAATTTAAACAAAAAAGGAAAAAGATCCATGTTGAAAAATCTCGTGACGCAAACGCGGTTTGGCCTTATTTCAAAGTTCAAGTATGAAAGCTCGGAAGGGAGCACGCTAGGTTCACCTAGACGACATCGATAATCTCGTGCGCGTCATTATTATTATTATTATTATTATTATTATTTCCACGATACACTCGCTAGACTCTGGGATTGCTGATGAAAGTATGATCGTATTACAAAATTAAGGAGAGGAGACGAGTCGATAAATCGATCGAGCGGAGGAATTCGGGTAAACATTTCGAGACATTTCGTTTGTTTCGACGAAAAGTGTGTTGGATAGAAGAAATAAGAGATTAAAGAAAATAAATACGTATATTTAACTAAAAAAAACTTAAATCAACTCTAACCAACTCTCAATGTACAAATATTATTATAACTTAAATTACTAAACAGCTATGTACAAAGTGATTGATCCCTCCCTGTCCCATCCCTCCCCCACCCAGTCCCAGTTCTTTGGTTCAGCGTCATGTTCGTACAACGTGTCGTTCAATTTCTATGATTGAAGATGTCCTTGGGTATGGGGTCCATGTGGGATTGGCCCTCGAACGCGGAAGTGGAGGATGGCGCTGGTTTCGGCGGGCCTTGGAACATGCAGGTCTTCGCCGTCTTCAACAGGCGACCGTTGCTCGCCGTTCGCCAGTAAACCGTGCGAACCGCTTGCTTCCCAGCTACGTAGCTTACCGCTCCACCGATCAGCATCTGGAGAAAAAGAAAGAGAAAAAGAGGAATAATAAACGAAGGATCGTAGGATCGTAGAACGAACAATCTGTTAAATTCAAAAGCGACGCTTGCTGCTGGATTCGGATCCAACTTTTCGACGAGAATTTCGAATCTTTGGAAAAAGCGGGAAATGCTCACCTTTTTCGCTTTGCCAAATTGATTTACGGCGTGTATTTGTAGTTGGAGCACTCGAAGTGTGTGCAGTTGTTAGCTGGTCGAAGAAGACTCGTTGGAGAGGAACGATAGAGTAGAATCGTCTACCTCTCGTTGTAACAATCGTTTGAGGAGAAAAGCTGAACTGACGAACCGGCCTCCTCTGGTGGATAATTTATACGATAAAGACTACGTCACGGGTTCTCGCGATAACAACGAGTCGGCGTCATTCACACCGTGATCGCCGAATCCTGGAACAACCGTGGCCGAGTGGTGGGAAGCGAGTGGTGTTCGGTTTCTCAGAAGTGGACAAGTTTAAGATAAACAACCGATCTGCTCTTTGACTGATCTATCGATATTTACTACGTGATCGTTGTCGATGCTTCTCTTACTTTCGCGTATGTCGACAAATTCGATGATTTTTTTTCTTTTTTTGGAACGATTCGGCCGATGGATCGATGGTTCGAAATACACGGTTACACGACCAAAAGTCGTGATTAAACGATAATGACGATTAATTCGGTATGCTAATACGATCGAATATCGTTATCGGGAATGTTAGTAAATAGGATTGTGATAATACGACCTTGAATTCGTTTCCTCGAGAAGTAAAAGGAAAAAGAGAAAATGCTCTTATTCGAATAATTATTCGAAACGATTTATCGAAATTTTTTTTTTTTTTTTTTCACGCTTCAACGAGAATTCGAGATTTTGTCAATTCTGTCGAAGAAGAGAAGATCTTTTATCGTATAGATAATTTCTTGGAGTTTTATAACGATCGGTCTTCAATTGTTCATTGTCAAACTAACACAGAGGAATGTTAATAACCGTAAAGCCAGGATGAATAATACTCAAGCTCGACGAACGATTCATAAATCATGGTTACGATATACCTTGGTATAAATCATCGAACAATTTTCCCCCGATCGTTTAACGCGCTCGTGGAAAATTATATATTGACGCAGTCGTGTATCGTTAAAAAAATAGCCTCTCTGTCAGGAGAGATAACATTTCGCATCTTTCCGATGTACTTTGTCTCTGATCACAATTAATATACGTGTACATAATACGCAGCGTGCTCTTCCTGGATCTTCTTCAGCGAAGCGTGTTAATAATGAAACGCGCTTAACGTCTTAATGTTCGTAACGTTTGTCTGACTGAGAAGAGGTGAAGAGGAGAAATGTTGAAGAAGAATCGGTCTAAATTTGTGAACGGGAAACGATAACAAAGGTCGAAAATAATTTTCCTCGTCGAAAATACGCGAATCGTAATCGTTATGTAAATTTGTACTTCTTGCAATGCGTTCAAATCTATCACGTTTTCACGTTTTCTTGATTCTGGCGAGAAAGATAAGTTGGAAAACATCTCGTTTATCGTTTAATAATTACACGCGCCACGATCGTAAAATTAGTTATTGACTCGAGATTAACACGTAAAATCGTTATGATTGTGTATCCCGATCACATGATCGGGATGTGCAAAAAATCTGTAATCGGTATTTGTTTTTTTTTTTTTTTTTTTTTTTTTTTTAAAGGGGAGATTGGCTTCGGGAAGAAACAAAGTTTATTTTTATCTCCTTTCGTCCATCCACGAAAGAAATCCATGGATTATTTCGCTCCTAATTCGTTTACGCTCTCGAGTGTGCACTTACTAGTTATCGGTGTTAATTGTTGATACTACGTATCGGTAT